TTTTGAAATATCACGTATATATATATATACATTAAATCTATATCATAGAAATAAGACTGATGTGAATGTGGTTTGTTCTAGATGCCAGTCGGTCCGTGTTTGGTTCCCTTTTGGCCTAGAATCTTTTTGAATGAGTGTGTGTGACTGCTGAGAATTTTCTCGTCAACATTATTGTGCATTGCATTGTGTGTGTGTTTTAATTGAGGTTTTTTGTTGTTGTTGTTGTTGTTGTTGTTTGTTTTGTGTGTTTGTTTTTTTATTCTAGTGAGTACATTATTACTATTTCTACTATTATGCCAATGTTGAAGGTGATTAATGATTTGAGCTGTCGGCCTTGTTGCGTTCGTTGGTTGCCCAACCTTCTTGTCTTATCTGTACTTTTACTACTTCTTCTTACAGGTAGTTAGTCTTAGTACAGTCTTAGTACAGCATGCATAGAATGACAGGCATAACCCACTTGGAAATTGTCCCTTTGTCCATTCATTCCTCTACTGACAGATTTTTTTTTGGCGATTTTTACTTTGTCATATATGCGATTCGTCTTTTTTAGTGGGGTTCGGGTTTTTTTAATAATTTGGCTGGCTTTCCTGTAATAGTCATATTGTGCTGCCATACCCTTTGTATTTTCGATTTGCTGTTATGAATCCGCCCACCCCCCATTTTTAACTGCTTTGTTGAAGTTTTGTACTATTTCTTTTTTTTTCTTTTCTTTTCTTTTCTTTTTCTTTTTTTTTTTTTTTTTTTTTTTTTTTTTTTTTTTTTTTTTTTTTTTTTTTTTTTGTCTCTAGTCCTTTTGTAAAAGTTATTATCAATGTTTTATCGGGAGATGGTTCTTTTCCCCTCACTGTCTACCTTTTTTTTTTACCTCTCTAGTTCCTTCTCTTTAATTTCTTACAGCCTAAGTGCAAAGCACACAATTGTGTTTTTGGCTCAATTTTGTAATACCCTCATCGCTTTTTCGTCTGGGGTTGGTCTGCGGTAACTTTTTTTTGTCGTCAACACTTTCTGGCTATTTGTGCAGCCTCCCCACTACTTTCATTCTAAAGGTAAATGTCATTTCTTCATGTTTTAAGTTTTTAAAAAAGGGCAGTATTGTTGAGCTGTTTCTTTTGCAAGTCTTTTCACAACACTTTAATCTTTTAATTATCTCCCATTATTTGTTCACGTATCTGCTTTTCTCCTTCCCTCTATCTTTCTGGAGGTTTTTTCTTTCTCCTCAATAAATTTATTCCGCTGTTTTTTTTAAATATCATAGTCATTCCAGCTCAGTTCGGTGAACACTAATTTCTGTCTGCGCGTTGTGCTTTACGTCTTTACATCAAGTTCACGTACTAAAAGTACACATCAGATACGTCTCTATGTGTGCATCGACGAATTGACGAAGCAGGGTCCATCGGTTTTTTGCTCATTCCGTTTTTTATTGTATCATTTTAACAAAACTGCTTGAACGTTATTTATAGATAGCATGTTGAGTTTTGCAGTGACACAATGGTTAGTTCTTATAGAAAATATGGGGGGGTTCTGTTTTATTTGTGTTGTTCACTGGGACGTTGAAATCAAACGTTGCAATTCGAAATTTCACTGCCTGATTCTGTTGTTGTAGGCTGTAGGTTCCATTGCTTGGTCTTGTGCTGTCGGGTTGTCAGTGGGTTGCGCGCAGAGTTGAAGTAAACAGCTGGCTTGGGTGGAAGGAAGGTCATGAATGAAGTGTGAAGGAGATGAGTAGTGGAGTAATAGAAAGATGCTCACAGCTCAAAGAAAAAGAGAAGGCTGGATGCTCACAGCTCAAAGAAAAAGAGAAGGCTGGATGCTCACAGCTCAAAGAAAAAGAGAAGGCTAGATGCTCACAGCTCAAAGAAGAAGGCTCAGTGGGGACTGTTGCTTCCAATGTCAGTTTTTTTCTTAGTTCTCCGGATACGGCTGCCTCAGCATCAGTTTTTTCCCCCTTTCCACATGCTCTTTGGGTTCAGTCTTGTAAGGAAGCGTTTTCCCTTTGGGTTTTTTTTTTAAGTTTTCAATTTTTTTGTTTTCATCCATTGCACAAGGTTGTTATTGGTTTTAAATTTAAATTGTGTTCCAGTATTGTTGTTGTCAGTTAGTTCTGTGAGTGTTTACAATTTGGAATTTGTCACTTCTTCATATGTGGAAATAGTGGAGGAAGTATGAGCCGCACGCACGGGTTATCATCAGTGATTTTAATATCTGGAGGGGGGTTTTTTGGGTTGTTTTTTTTTTTTACTGTAGTCTGATGTGATGTGACCATTACTACTGCACGACCTACCCGTAAAGTTCAACTTAACGACTGTCTTAGAAATAAAAGTCTCCTCTTTTGGAATGGCCAGGGTCTTATAAATGCTCAAGTTGCTGTACTTTGTCTGGAATCAACTGTTAAGTTCAATTCATCAATTGTATTAGAAATAAACGTCTCCTCTTTGGAACGTCCAGGGTCTTATATAATGCAGAGGTTTGCTAGACTTTGTGTTGAACTCTTGTATCCTTTTTAGGTAGAAGTTAAGATGTTGTGTGTGTTTGAGGTTAGGGGGGGGGAGGGGGGTGTATTCTGAGACGAGAGCTGGACTCTCCCTGTTATGTTGGGCGGGTGACACGGGCGTGTATTTCTTTCAGTGCAATAAACAAGGAAGCAATTGGGTGGGGGGTTTTTTCCCCCTTCCACGTGTCTTGTGTCACTGCATGCTCTGATTTCTGACTTTTTTAACTCGCTGCGCCAGTCAGTCAGCCAGCGTCGCGCGTAACAGATTAAGTACTAATGTCAGCGATCGCGCAATAGTGGTAGGGTCGCAATAGTGACAGGCTCGCAATAATGATAGCGTCTCTAAGTGCTGCAGTATCTAAAAAAAGTTTTCTTTCCCATCTGTCTGTTCTTTGGAGCCAGAGAGAAGGACTGTGAGGTAGCCCCCCTTCTGTGCTCGTATTGACTGAAATCAAGAAACGCATGACCCACCTTAATTTTTTCCCCCCGCCCACATCCCCCCTTTTTCGCCTTCGTAATGGAGATAATTCGGATGATGTGTATTGTTGATGCGGTGGTCGCTTAGTGAAGACATGTGAGACTTTGAATAAGGACCGGGCCACGTCTGATGCGGAACGTTGATGCCCATGTCAGAAAAAGTAGGCCTAGTATGGATTGGTTGGACGGAATCTATTTGCTCTTTTTTTTTGGCAGGTGTTGATTGTTGGGAACAAGTCTTTTGTTTGTGTGTGTATTTGTGTGCGTGTGTGTGTGTGTGTGTGTCATAGAGTGTGTTGTTTGCCTGTCTGCAGCTGTGTGGATTCTATCAGTGTGCTGTCACATTGATCACAGATTGTGTTTTGACCACATGAATGTTATCATCATCATTGTCATCATTATTATTACTGTTATTATAATTATAATTGCTTTTTGTCCTTATACTACTGCCCTCTCTCCCAGTGCATAAACAAAGTAACTCTCTGTGGAGCCACTGTCGTTTTGCTTGGGCAGACTTGACTTTCTCATCCGTTTATTGTACTTCTGTGCTACTATTTACTCTTGTTTGACTTTTCTGCTCTGTAGTGAGTTGTATGAGCATGTGCAGTGCTTTGCCGTAGCTTGGTGTTTTTTTTATCTCAAGTGCTACCCCATTTCTCCCAATACCCCCCTCCCCATCTCTACCCCTTTTGTGTAGTTGCTCAAACAAGACGCCCCTCAAGAGTGCATTAGCGAGTGATTTCCCATCGAGAAATAGCTTTGGTGGTCAGAGAACATTCTGAACAGCAGGATATACAGTTCAGAACATTTCAACTGCTTAGTGTAAGACTCCGCCACATGCCATTTTGAAGTGACGTGTGACAGAGTCTTTTGCCGAGCAGACGATTTGTCTCTTATTTTTTTTAGTCCTTTGCCGTGCCTTAAAGACTTTGTTACTCCTGAAATATTGTCTTCATGGAAAGAACAAATGATTCATGTCATGTATTCCGTCTGTTGGACCAAGGTCTGTAGTGTCATATAAAAGGAGGCCTTAGAAATATTCAGCTACACTCAGAAATTACTGTGCCAGACTTTAGGATGATAAGAAGTAAGATCTCTAAAGACGTCATTTTTGATGCCATGGTAAAAAAGAACCCACCAAAGA